AGCATCTGACTGCAGCTCTGCTGTGGGCCCACTCCTAAATAAGCATCACTCTGCTGCTGCTGGATGGTTTGCTCTTTCATCAGCTGGGCTGATAAAGCTAAAAATAATCAGTACAGATAAAAGTTTTCAGAATTTAGTTCATTCAGGAACCAGAATGTGTTTTTTTTTGTTATTGAAAAATCTAATTAAAGAAAAATTGAGCTAAAAAGTCCAAATCCATCCATTCCTGTATTCTAGCAGAGTTTATGAGGAGGATGTCACCCAAACCAAAGGATCATTCAATTCAATTCTATTCAGTTTATTTCTATAGCTCCAATTCACATCATGTCATCTCAGGTCACTTTCCAGTTCACCAGATCATCCAGTCAGATTGATTCAAAGTTTTCTATCTAAGGAAAACCAGCTGATTGCATCGACTCATTGACTCTTCAGCAATCCCTCACACTAAGCATGCTTGTAGCGACAGTGGAGAGGAAAAACTCCCTTTGAACAGGAAGAAACCTCCAGCAGAACCAGGCTCAGTGCTGAGCTGTGTCCATCTTCCACATGCAGTCAGGGAGCGGCAGGTTGCTTTTCAGGTCTTTTGTATCTTTTTGTTTCTCCAGTTTTCTCCTCTTATTCTTCCATTTGGATCCGTTTTACTGTTTTAATGGTTTTTAAGTTCCAATTATTCCTGAAAGTCGCTGTTTATTTCAGGATGAAGGAGCAGGAGAAGCTCAGACGAACAGCCAACGAGACACGCTGGATTCTGGCCTGGATTCGATTTCTGGAGCTCCGGCTGACTGAAGCTGAGAACTGAAGAAAGTTGGAAAGAAACATCTCTGCATTTCTCTTTTTTTTTTTCAAGTTTGAAACATTTTTACTGTTAGTTTGGCAGCGAAGTAATGATTGTAATAATTAATGATTTAAGTTGGTCATGTTAAAATAAGAAAGTCTCTAAATGGATAACCTGTTAACAGCTGTTTTTAGATTTACTTACAAAATAAAATGTTCAGAACCAGAAACCTGAACCAGGAAGTAGGATTACTGGGTTATCCAGATAACTTCAGTTCTAATGTTTCTGGTACAATGAAGCTCGATTTATTCTCAGCCAGGTTGGTTACCATGGTAACACCCTCTGAACAGCTGACCTGCGTCGGGGCAGGCGAGCTTTCAGGATGCATCTGATTGCTAGAAAACGCTCCAATCAGCCAATCAGCTGCTAGGAAACAACGACGTCCTTTGATTGAAGACTTGATTAAATTTACAGGGGAAAATAACATTAGAATAAAAAAACCTTAAACCCAAAAGTAGTAAAAACAGAATTTGTTATTGATAAATAGTTTTTAATACATTTTTCTTTTGCCTCCTTTTTTAAATACAAACCTTTAACTGTTCTGTATTTATCACTGTTTTATTCTATATTTGATATATGAAGCTAAATAAAAAAATCTATAATAAAACTCAGAGTGAAATCTGTGAAAAGATCCTTTGGATCGCTACAGTAATTATTTATATAAGCAATACAGGTTTTTAATTCAGTTTATTTCTATAGCTCCAATTCACATCATGTCATCTCAGGTCACTTTATAGATCCAGATCAACCAGATCATCCAGTCAGATTGATTCAAAGTTTTCTATCTAAGGAAAACCAGCTGATTGCATCGACTCATTGACTCTTCAGCAATCCCTCACACTAAGCATGCTTGTAGCGACAGTGGAGAGGAAAAACTCCCTTTGAACAGGAAGAAACCTCCAGCAGAACCAGGCTCAGTGTGAGCGGCCATCTGCTGAGGCCCACTGGGGTTCAAGGAGACAGAAGCAGACATAGAAAAAGAAGCATAGATACAAAAGGCAACTGTCAACCAGCTCCACAGGAAAGTTGAACTAAAAACTATTTACAAAAATCCGTAACTGTTCATCGGGATGAATATGTTAACAAATAGGAATATATAAAACATTTCAGAGTTTCAAATAAACAGTGAATTTAAGTATTTTAAGTTATTTTTCCCTTTGGGATTATTAAAGTATTTCTGATTATGAACATGATGCAGACCTGCAGCTTCAGTTTGAATAAAGACAACATTCAGACTGTAACCAGGTTGCCCCGGAAACGACTTTCACTTCATTCACACAGACATCAGTCTGCTTCCTCTTTAACCCTTCAAAATAAAGCTAAAAAATGTTAGAATAAAGCAGCTCATCAGGACTGCAAACAGAGTAAACAACATCATTCATGTCTTTGTTAAATCTGCCAGGAGCATGTGAGCGTCTGCTGGAGATCTTCCCCTCATCATCATCATCATTATCATCTGGAGTCTGGAGTTAGAAACAGAAAGAAAGTTTTTTTTTTATTATTCAGGCATAATAAATCCTTATCTGCTTCTCAAACAATAAGATGGTTTATGAATTTCAATGTTTTATCCGTATTTGCCAAAACAAACAGAGAGTCATTTTAATGATCAAATAAACCATGAAAGACGACGTTTGAGTTAAAATAAAATACCAACATGAAGTCGCTATTTGGTTCAGTTTAGTTTACTGAGGTACTTTGATCCCAAAGGAAAATTAAATTTTGATGGAAAAAATCTGCAGGTTTTTGTAGAGGTTTATAAATGCAGACCAGAAGGATCCTCTATCGTTCTTATTATTTGTCATTTTTACATTAAATTTAAATTCATTTCCATGAATTAGAATAAATGTTCCTTTAATGTTTTGTTTGATTTATTAAACGATGCCTCATGCTGCCGTTTCTGCATCCTTGATTTTCTCTATGATTGTTTAATCTTTTGTAGATTCCTGATTTCGTGCACTGAGCGAAATTCTTCAAAAAAACTGATGAGATCAGGAGAAAACCAAGACTGAACCAATCAGAGGCGATTTTCAGCTTCATCGCTGTAAACATGACACCACAGCCGGGAAATAAAATCCACCTGCTGGAGCTCATCAGAACCTTTAACCTATGAACCAGCAAACCAGAGGATCCTGCAGGTCCCATCAAACCAAACCTGTTTGCTCAGATCTGATAACTGGAAATCCACCATTAGGTTACTGGTAAGAATCCTAAGATGAATTAACCAAACATTCTGAACCCTTGTTTTTAGTTTACTCTGCACTACGTTATGGAGCCTCTTTGTAAAGAAAATGTTTCTCACTCTGTGCTGATAAGTAGCTGCAGTCTCAGCGCTGCTTATAGCGTCAACGTAAGCCAAGTAGATTTCCACGTTAGCAGATCTCCACAGTCCGTCTCCCTCAGTGGAATCCTCGGTAATTCTGGTGGTCTTTACAAGAAGAACAGTGGTTATTGTCCCAAAACGTTTGCTCCCAAATAAGATGGCAAAACCATCATGTTTCTCTGCTTCTTATTTTAATATTTCAAATCATCAAACAAACAGAATTAAATGCTGAAATTGAATCTCTCTGTAGAATTAGTTCATTATCTTTAAATTAGGTTTTATTGAACTGATATCAGACGAACCGAGCAGAAACCCTTTTCAATCAAAGGCTTTTTATCAAAAGAAAAAAATACCCACCAGGATTCTTGTCTATTCACATTCTGGGAGGTTTCTGGAACGGCTGTTAAATCCAGTTATCCACCATTAGTTTAGTGACTAAGGCTGTCAGCAGAGTTATTAATTACCAACCAAAAGAAATCCTCTCTCTATTTATTAAAGTATCATCAAAAGGAGGGTGGCCTGGGGAGTGTCAAAGGTAGACCACATGCAAACCTATTCAATAATATCCGTTCTAAAATAGCAGCAGATATGAGCAATAATAAGTGCAATTAAAAACAGCATGAATTAATTCAGCTTACAATGGACATCGATCAACTCCAATCTTGCCCACTCCCTCAACAAGAGAGGAAATTCAGGCAGTTCTGTTCTTGCCATTGGAGGGATCTTTTCTCTTGTCTCCATCTGATGAACCAGTTCTCGGATAGTTAGCCTCTGTTCTTCCTTAAAGCTGAAATGAGATAGGCATGGAGGTAGCTGATCCTCCTCAGTGATGTAGCTGTCAGGGACTGCCTTTGCTCTGATGGCGAAGGACTCAACCAGCGTAATACCGTCAGGAACAGGAATGACAGCCTGAGGGGCTCGGATGCAACAACCTTGACAGGTTGCATCAACAATTTCTGGGGAGATCAGGGTTGAATCGGCAAGACGTGTTTCCAGGAATGAGCTCATGATCTTTAGTTGATTCATCAGGACACTGTTGAGGACGTCGGGAGTGCGCTACATTTTGTTTTCCCACCCGTTACAGGAGTTTAAATGAGTATGTGGAAACTGCGGCCGACCAGCGGTGACCAGTAGCGTCCAGCTTGGCGGAGGTGAGTATGTAGGTCAAGGGATTGATATCTGTCACAAAGGTAAATGTGGCTCCATACAGGTAATCTTGGAACTTGTCAGTGACACTCCATTTTAATGACAGAAATTCGAGTTTGTGGGCTGGGTAGCGGCTTTCGCTCTGAGACAAGCCTCTGCTTGCATAGGCATCACTCTCAGCTTTCCTTCCTGTTCCTGATAGAGTGCAGCTCCTAGTCCTGTCGTACTAGCATCGGTATGAAGTATGTACGGTTGGGATGGATCTGCAAACCCAAGGACTGGAGCTGTGGTTAGTTTCTCAGTCAGTGTAGTGAAAGCAACTTGGCAACTGGGACTCCAACCTTCTCCAAAAGGCTGATTTGGACTTGCATGCAGGTAAGTACCCATGTTTGAGGCCGTTCTGAGGTTTGGTGGAATAATCTTTGATGAAATGGCGGTAATTACCTGCAAATCCCAGAAAAGAGTGTAGTTCCTTTAAGTTGGTGGGAATTGGCCAGGATTTGATGGTGTTTATCTTCAGATGTTTATCTACCTCTTTCTCTGACACAATGTGAGCCAAGTAGCGAACGGATGTTTGGAAAAACTTGCACTTTTCTGGTGACAGTTTTATTCCATATTCTCTCAAAAGATATAGAAGAAGATTCCGAGATTATTGAATCGTCCAAAAACACCAATATTTCAAGAAGATGGAGGTCACCCATGCATTGCTCCATCAACTGCTGGAACATACTGGGAGCATTAGTGACCCCCTGGGGCATCCTGTTGAATTCCCAGAACCCCAGGGGTGTCACAAAGCAGTCTTGGGCTTATCCTCTTTGTGCATTTCAATCTGGTAATAGCCTGACTTCAAATCCAGGACTGAAAACCATTTTGAACCAGTCAGTGCTGTAAAGGATTCTTCTAAATTTGGAAGAGCATAGGCATCTTTGATGGTTTGGAGATTAAGCTTCCTATAGTCGATGCACAATCAGATATCCCCATTCTTCTTCCGTACTACGACAATAGGAGAAGAGAAGGCTGATGTGGACTCACAGATGACACCAGCCTCCAGAAGCTCACTCAGATGTCTATGAACAGCTTCAAGGTCTTTGTGATGGATTGGTCTAGTACTGTTTTTGAATGTAGTTTCGTGATGAAGCCTGATGTGATGCTTTACCTGGCTTGTGCACCCAAAGTCATGATGTGAGAAGACCTCTGACATGTTGCTTAATCTCCTTGTGATTCGTTCTTCCCACTCCGATGGTATGGGAGAGTCAGCAAAGTCAAAGTTGAGAGAGGTAGGTACAGGTTCTTATGGATGACTTTTCATGTGATGCTGTGACAGAATACAAGCTTGGCAATAACACTCAGTGGTGGAATGTAGAGGTCCTGCTTTGACTCATCTGTTACAACCACTGAGACTTTGTAGGAGCATGAGCTGGAAGAGCTTTTGCTAACACAAAGAGCAACGGGCAGGAAGGAGGCAGGATGCTGGATGAGGACAGACTGGCTGAAGCTGGGAAAGGCGACTTTAGCAGAGCCCTCGCTGATGAG